TAAGCGTCATCAAAACTCGGATTAAACTTGGGTAATTTCGGGAAAAGTCGGATTTTGAAGGAAAAATGTTAAAAATCAAGGAAAAACACAGTGAAACTTTGAAGAATCGAAAAAATAACTTGATGTGCACAATAGCGCCATCAATTTCTGTCTCTGTACCAACTCTGAACTGAATTGGATCACACATGTGTGAGAAAAAGCTGGTAACATGAAAATGTGCACACACATTTGCACAGACACGACCCAAATTAATACCCCCCGCCCGGATCGCAGATCCGGCGGGGGCTAATTAGTGCATCTATGTGAAACAGAAGGACACACACACACCTACATACATACAGACAGACAGACAGACAGACAGACAGACAGACAGATTAACCGCAAGGGTTTTTTTTTTTAAATAAAGTGAATTTACAAGCGAATATAGGTTTACATCATCGTGTGATAATGTAAAGCTATGACTTCATAAAAATCTCTAATTCTGATAGTAGTGGGAATGTATAACACAAAATAAAGGGCAGTGCATTGTCCTTTATTTTAAATATACACTGTAGAATATTGCATTTCAATAATGGGCAGAACACTACTACCGGTAGTATACTACATGTATAATAATGAATACTAGTAATACAAAACACATACATTCATATCTAAATTCAAACATCATAGATTCATACTTACAAGTAAAATGAGACGTGATAAATAAAAAGGAAGTTCCAAAAAAATTGAAAGATAATCCTATTGCACCCTGAAAATGAAATATACAATGTATAAGTAATAAGATAATAGCTAGTGTATTCAAAATGCATTTCACTTTTCATTGATTTACTTCACAGCACATAGCAATATGTGTATTGCATTAGAACATAAAAAAACAACTCAATGACAGTCCCCCATTTATTTTAAGGTAGAGATGCAGGTTCGTTGGCACTTGGGAGTGAAATTTTTTTTAACTTTTAACAAAACGATAATACACTTAAATTTGGAACTGTTACAGCCATTTTAATTATGAGCATTAGCAAACTTCTTATGGAGTGAATGGTTATGCAAATTAGCAATTATCTCAGCTTCTTTTTAGTGCACATCCCAGAACTTTAAAAAAAAATTGTTCCTAGATGCATTGACCTTTTGTTTTGAAATTTTCACAAATGATTGACAATGTGTTTATCTTCATAACGCCGTCGGGGCATTGTTTTTTGTTGAACAGTGTTACAAACAATCCTACAGACAACTAACCTGGGTGTTAATTTATGCATAAACTTGAAGTAGTGAAATTTGAGCTGCTGCCCTGCAAAATTGACAACTGGTAGACAGTTTTCAAGACAGCACTGTTTTCATAGTAAACAAATGTACCCATAAACCAATTTTGACAGGAAACAGAAGCATGGTTTAGAAGCTAATTTTTTTTTAATCACTTTTGACCAAAAAAGCACATTTTTGTGCATCTTTCAAACTACAGTGTTATAAAAAAAATACTAACAAAATTTTAAAATTCATACAATAAGCTTTCCGAAAATATATAGTTTTGTGGACAAGGGAGGTCATCTTGGTTTCCTAATTAACTAATTAAAATACCTGTCAGGTAAACTGCATTTCTACCTAAAGTCAGGATGCAAATGGACAATGGTTTAGCTCAAAGCATTTAACCCTTTGAGTGAGAAAGACAATATCATATATCCTGATGAGATGTGTGTCCTGCTATTGTATCTCTAGACAAGAAGTGCACCCTCATACCATATCTCCTCATGAGATATGTACCCCCATACAATAATTCCTGATAATTCTATACATACCTTGGTTTTAATCATAGACCCTGGTCTTGTTGCTACTGTATCTTCCTCAACAGCTGTCAAAACGAAAACAAATACAAGTGATGCAGCATATCACAAACACTAAAATTTAAAAAATTTAATCTGTCCTTGAATCCAGAAGACTTGTCCAGTATTAAACTCATAGTTGCTGTCGACATAGGAAGTAAAGTAAGCAAATAACACCGAATAAACGACAAGGTAAATACTACGTCCAGTATTAATTCACTGTCTTCGGGAAAACATAAACCAGAAGCTGACTGGACGACCTGTTCCCGGATAGGTTTAGGGTAATCTCAAGTTGTGAGGTATTTTCAAGATCTAAATCCAATACCAAAGTACTGTAAACCACTTTAATCTTGTAAGGGTCTTCTCATCACCAAATAATCATAATATTAACACACTTGGCAGGCTGTGTTTTGCCATTTTGATATTGGTATAATTTAAGGCTGGTATTATTTACTAAATTAACGATTACAGTAAACATTACACAGAAGTTCACAGTAAGTAATACTGGTACTTAGATTACAGTATTATATAGAAGATGACTGTAATACATAGAAGACTAAAGTAATACTTTGATTACAGTATTACAAAGAAATTCAGTGATATATAGAATACTGTAATACATAGATTACAGTAAGTAGTACACAGAAGACTAAAGTAATACTGGTACGTAGATTACAGTATTATATAGAAAATAACTGTAATACATAGAAGACTAAAGTAATACATGTACTTCAATTACAGTATTACAAAGAAATTCAGTGATATATAGAATACAGTAATACATAGATTACAGTAAGTAGTACACAGAAGACTAAAGTAATATTGGTACTTAGATTACAGTATTACATAGAAGATAACTGTAATACATAGAAGACTAAAGTAATACTTCGATTACAGTATTACAAAGAAATTCAGTGATATATAGAATACTGTAATACAAAGATTACAGTAAGTAGTACACAGAAGACTAAAGTAATACTGGTACGTAGATTACATAAAACAGCGTCCAGATTACTTTCGGAAATTCCGTCGCGTTTCGGAAAGTTTTAATTTTCAAAACTTTTGAATATTTATTTGTGCTTTTAGGTTAGTGAGAAGGTTATAATAATTCTTCATTTCACTTTAACACTGTTTTTACACCCCTCAGACCCCCTTAAAAAGTCACTTCTGGCCATTATAATGGCCACTATTTTCTTAATGGCCAGAGTATTGACCAGAATTTTTTAAGTGGCCAAATATTTACCAGTGTTTTTAAAATGGCGGTTTTAATGACCCATGTTTTTTATACTGGTCAGAATAATTACA